ATTAATAGAGTAGAATGCTCCTAGAAATACGAAACAAATTATGAAACTTCAAAAATCTCAGTATCTGGTAAAAAATGTGAAGCAAAACTACTTTCTTTTTTATAGACGTACATATCGAGCCCCAACTGCCAAAATAAAATGTAGCTTACGTTATTTCGGCGGTTAGGGCTCGATATGTATATGTATACATATACATATATACTACAGAATCTGTTTGTTTTTTTTTCGCTCACATCATCTGTCAATTTCGCAGCCAAATTGGTTGGCAGTGACACTGTCTGTGGTGAACAGGAGTTAAATCATTCCAATTCCGACAAGTGGCTTTGTTTTGTAAAATTAAAATCCGAAATGAACTGGAATAATTTTTTATATTTTATTTATTTATTATCATTATTTATTTATACATTTGTTTGCACTTTCGAAAATCTTTTTTTACATACATACATACATACATAATTTAATTACAAATTTATTATGTTGTTACACACAAATATGCATTTTACTTGTAAGTCCGGCTGTGTGCGTGTGTGTGTGTTTGTTTTACATGTCCGTTGGTATTTGTATTCGTTCTCCACGATTTAATTATAACTATTCATTATTATCGACATATATTTATTATAAGTACTGTATCTATAGTGCATACATACATATATGTAAGTATGTGAATAGTACCTAAACTTTTTTGACCCTAGGACATAGATACATATCGCATTTGCTACAAGAGTGTCATAATCAAAAAACCAAAAATGTAGTTAACTATGCAGAAATGAGCTCCACCTCTTCTTCTATGTTTTGTATAAATAGCTATATCGATTAACCATAGCTCAGTAGAAGAAAAGAGGTCTTAATTTTTACTATAGGCGCGTAAGTATTCTGTAAACTTTAAAGCAACTTTTATCGAATTTTTAATTTTTTGGGATATGTCACTCTTGCAGCAAATAAGCGTTGTGTACCTACATAATTATATACATACATATACGTATATCTTCAATACCTAGGCAAAATGTACTTGTGAAATTTTTTTCAATCTCCATTTTTTATATATTCTAGTAGCATGGGTTCAAATATGTTCTCTTACACAAATCCTTAGATATATTTTATATATTATTATAATTATTGGTTTCTTAGGAATTTCTCCAAAATAATTACTAATGCATATTCAAAGATTTTAAGGTTTCCCCTATAAAATTTAAATTTTTCATTTAAGTAATTTTGCGATGGTAACGCTAATATAATTAAATACCATACCATATACTTAAAAATACCATCATCATTTTTCTACGCACAAAATAAACACATCCACGGCACTTTAAATATCTGCTAAAAATTTAGGGATCGCTACCAGGGTGTCAAAATTTAATTTTGTTATCGAAAAAAATTCTCAAAAATTTAGACTAAGACAGGGCACTGAAAAGCACAGCGAAACAAATTGATGCGTTGATCAGCGTCACGAAAACGCAAGCATTATTGGTACCAATTGGCAGTGCGGAATGGGCACACTAACCACCTTAGTAGGGTTCGTAGCCTATCTAAACCTCTGCCGTACTTTGGATCCGGCATTCGGTTGTAATGCCAATCCATATCGAGCTAGCAATGTCAACTCTACCCTTATTCTGGTGTTAAACCACAACAATCACGATACTCCCCGAGGAGCCTAACTCGAAAATAGGCCAGAGTGAACGCTGGCGCCTCCTGTTCCTTGTGACGCCTACCAGAACTAAGTCTCCGGTTAGACCTCGTAGCCGAAGCTAATAACAGTTCAGTTTCCATATTAATCCGGACTTTTGAGCATCGAGGCACATCTACACCTCCTGAAAACTTCATGCGCAAAGCCCCCAATATTTGTCACTGTCCAATGCATGGGGAGGGAAGTGTCGAAGTCGTAGGTTGTCCATTTTATCCCAATGCTGTCGAGACTCCTCGCTTCCGAGTAAATCGGGCAACCCCAGAGCACGTGTTCAACATCTTCAGTCTCCGCTACGCACTCACACCCTTCAAAATCGTGGAGGTTCCTCTCGTGTAAGACTACATTAAGAAGTCTGTGCCACGTCAGGAGGAAACCCAGACGACCGTTGAGGCTACTGTTCCCAGCTGTGGGGCAAAGCTTATGCGCTCACCGATAGGCAGCGCCAAACATTTGACTTGCGTTACATAACTAAGACTGACCCTTGACAGCTTGTCCTTGAGCAGTATATCTTGTTCACTCACATATGTGGCCCCAGCTTATGAAAACGTGAAGAAGCTGTTTCATCTTACGCTCAATTTCGGCTCTAGGCTGGCCCTTCACCAAGACGAGAAGGTCATCCGCATACGCACTGAAGCCACAGCGCGGCTCAAGCTTCTGAAGCAGAGAATTCACAATATTGACCCCAGATGGATAATTTTCCAAACGCTAGTAGCGGCATCTCAAAATCTGTTTAAAATTTTTAAATTCTTGTATGGCTTTAGATGTGCACGTTTTAGGGACCACTTTAGTGTACATACGTATATATATTTATGTAGATTTGTAGAAGATTAACTTGCTCCTATGAACTTTAAACAACTGCGTAGAAAGTATTTAAGGAATATGAAAATTGTTTATTTTGGCAGCGTTTAAAAATACCTGAATCAATTTATTGCAAAATTTTAACGTGAAAATCTTCTAAGCTATTGGGAAGCAATTGGTAACACATGTACAGATTTTCTCAATATACTTGCAACGGCATTCCACTCATCAAAGCCGGACACCAGTTAGAAAAAGTTATGACGAGAATATAGCTTTAGCTGCTTTAGCTGCTTTAGCAGGATGCCGAAGTCCTTGTTACGTTCTTAAAATACTTTCACGCCCTTTAATCAAAATCGCTAGGAACATTTTATAATCGTTTTCTTGCAATACATAGTGATACGGCCTAACGTACATATGTACACACATACTAATACTTGAACAATATAACAATCAATTATGTATTTATTTGCGGCCAGGCCACCACCAAAGCTTTTAAATACATTTAAAATTTTCTAAATTAATTTTGCGGACAGGTTCTCCACTTTATCTTGTACTTCAATACATACGCGTATGTATATAAAATGCGAGTGTAAACATATTTAATTACATAACTTTATTACACCTACGTATTCTTATTATTTCAAAGACATTGTATAACAAGAAACTGTAGTATTTTGTAGTGCTTAATCATATTTAAGTGTATTTGTTTGACAAATTGTGTAGCTGTTTTTGTTATTTGTTTAAAACTATAATAAAGTATAATTTTTATATTTCTAATTAAGATATTCTCATTTATTTAAACTTAAAGATATTTCGGAAAATAAAAATATTTTAATGAAAATAATTGCCAAACTAAACACAAGCTTATAATTTTTTTACTCCTGGGCATATGTACATACATTAATATTTTTTTTTCTTCGAGAAACAAGCTTTTATATACTATGTATTTGGAATTTTGGGCAACGGAAAAGCTGCATTTGAATCCCATTTCGAAAAACTAGCAGATTAGATTCAGTATTCTGTATTGAAACTTCAATACTTTTCGGTACACTTTTACTTAACGGAAACAGCACCCATCATTTCACATTTAACAAAATACTATTTGTATTTATATAAAAAAAATTATTTTCCGATCGAAACTTGTCACGGAATTGGACTGGTATGATAGTTACATATGTGGATTTTTTTCTCTTTATTTTCTTTGTGGATTTTCTTTCTTTGTGGAACAATTGAAAATGATGAAAAATTCATGCGAAAAATACATCAATCAACTTTCCTTAAATAAATGTTGTGGATGTATTTTCACACCCTTTTTTGAATATACCATCAAAAGAGGCGCCAATTTGTAAGACAAAAACTGAAAACGAATGAAATGAAGAAAAGTCTTATTTTTTGTTCGTAGTAATACAATTTTACAATACAGGTTGTCCTAGAACACCCATCTATGAGGGCCACCAAAATGTCTTTAGACTAGCTAAGGATAAAACGAATTTTGTCGGTAAAAATATTAATATTGTTTTTCGAAATATTTTCCAGAATGATTGATGCACTTTTGCTTACGCAAAAATCAATTGACGAAACATTTTTCCCACAGTGATATGGTTCAAAGTCATGCTTTTGAACGCGTCTACTGGCCATACAGATCGTTGCCCTCGCAGTTTTTTCTCGATGATTGCTCACAAAAATAAATACATATTTAGGTGAACTACTATGGACCGAACTTCTGCCATCTTTTGTAAATTTTTCCTTGGAAACAAACCGGCTTCGACCTTATACCATCTTTGGTGCCATTTTTCGTTTTATTTAGGTGCCAAATCAGTTCGATGATTCTGTGCCTATAAATGATCGCGCGAATAAAATTCTAAAACGCTCTTACCGGAACGGATGTCATTGTTCCCAATTTGTAAAACGACTTCGTATCGACGTCGTTTTCGACTCGTTATAGGGAACAATTTGTTTGCGCAAAGACGTCTCGCCAGCGGGCCATAAAAACGACTGGCCGGAGGGCCCCAAAAATGATTCACCGGGGAGCCGCAAAAACGATGCTCAAAATCTTTAACAAAAACCGTATACATAAATCCCATTTCAAATTATGTGCAATATTTTAAAAAGAAAAACAAACACAAAGCTTTAAGCTTTTTTAAAATTTCCAAATTTTAAATCTGAATTAAAGAAAAAAGTATAAAGCAATTTCATCGCTTATTAAATTTGAGTGTAATGTCAAACAATCCCCTTTAATTTAACGCTGGCTAGAGATCAGGGTGTTTATTGTATTAAAACGCATAAAAAAAAACATCATAAATTTTGTATTGATAGAATGAATCCGGTTTGGGGTCGTTTCGAGTTCACCCAAACGACTGCACCACAGCAGCCGCCGGTCCAAATTTTACTACTAGTTTTGGGTGTCCTGATAAAGAGTTTAGTTATTTAATATTTCTCTCAACACTGCTTTGGTTATATTTAAGAGAAGTTAGTTGAGGTAACTGACGACTAAATTTCTCAATGTGCTTTAAAATTAATTTTTGTTTTAAAATATCAATATGTCAGCTTTTCATTTAATTAATGCCTTTTAAAAGCGTTACCTAACCTCTAAAATGTTTCACGGTAAAATAACTTGTATCAAAATCAAAATAAATGCAGCTAGATAATAAATGCAGCTTTTATTAAAGTTTCTTTTTTAACGTGTATACATATAAATATTATATAAAAAATTTCTTATTTAAACGTAATACAAAATACCATTAATTAAGTTTCTATGTATAATAAATATTGTGCTTACTAAATTTTTTTTTTGAATAAAAGTCTTTTTTTCAGCAGAATAGAAATGCATTAAAAGCGCCACAGCATTGCTTGCGTATAAATAAAACGATTTTTTGGTCAATTGTTTTGTTTTTAACAAATCAAAAAATTACACGTGACTACGTATACGAACTTGTTTATGCATGTATGTATGTAGGCATGTGCTTTTTTTGTGTGTATTGGTATTTAATTGTTTACATAAGCTTATCCATATATGCATCAACATAATAACTACATATTTACAAATATTTATTTAATATCAATTCTTCCACAATAATTAACACCTAAATTATTTTTGTTTCTCGTTTTCCATTTTCATTTTCATTTCCATTTAAATTGGTTTTGCTTTACTTTGTTCTTACTTACGCTTACGCTTAATTAACTTTGTAAGTGTAAAACACGATTAACAATATTCAATTACAAACATGCAAATATTACATACATATTTATGTAGTTACATGCATACATACTCGAAAAAGCTTATTTAAAAATGTTATTTACTTATCGCTCCGCCTTCGTGTGTTTTTTTTTCCGCATTATTTTCAACTGCAACGCCGCTCTTTAAGCTTTTCCTAATTAACTTAATTAACATGTATGTATGTACATACATAGAGTAATGTTTGTGTATGTATGCAAGGGTGTTCGTGTGTGTATCATCACTTATGTAAACTGGCTTAAAATATTGTATGTATTTTAACTATCGCTTTATAGCGTGTTTCGTATGTTTTTTTTGTTTTTGTTTTGGTTTTTCACTTGGCTTCTTCCTTTGCAATTAAAAGCTTTTGTTGCAGCGCCTATAATTATGCTCCATTTTCTTGTTTTCGTATTTTATGGCGAAGCTGTATGTATCGTAGTAATTCGATGCATCGACGGCCATCCGCAATCGCTTCTGGCCCAGCCTCCCAGAGTCAGCTTGGGCTTTCTGCTTCTTCCTCTTTACTGCATTAATTCATTCGATTTGAAGCGATTGAACTATCTTCCGGCGATGGCTGCTTGTTTCAACCTTAATGTGTTGTAAATACTCACTGCGCTGACTGCCATGTCGAGGAGGAGTGCCTGTGAACGCCATACAGCAGCTGCCAATACTGTCAATTTCAATGGACGCGCTATGCTGTCGCTCGATAATGCACCCGCCGATGCGGAGGAGGTGGCTGAGGAGAAGTACGTCTCGAAGAAATTACGCAGACTGGAGCCGGATGACAATGTCACTGTATAAATAGAGAGAGAGAGA